AAGAACTAAATAATGGTGCTACTTTTGCATTGTTACTGGAACGAGACATTGTCTTAGTATTAGAACATTTTGATTATATTGACTAAAATTAATGTCTAATATGAGCAGCCTAAAAGCTATTTGCAATTTCCTACAAAATGAGTATAAATACACAGAAATTGCAAAATGTGTATACATGTTTTTTAAAACAGCATATCGATTCCTTGTTAACAGTAATGTTTAAATAGTAAAAAAATTTTAACGAAAAAAAGGTTCTGCAGTTCCGAGGCTAAAATTCAAGAGAGATTACTGTAGCACCAATAATATTTATCATGCCCAACACAATTCTAAAAAGCAGACCAAGTCATAGTCTGTGTACACTGACATTAAATAGTTGGCTAACCAACTACACGTAAAATAACGGAAGAGAAGTAATTAATTAGTGCATCTTGGATTAATTGCTAAAACTTTATTTTCAACATTCAAAGATATAGTTACACTAAAGTAAGTGAAGCGTTGTGTTATGTGTTAAGAATGAAATAACCTTAATTATCGTAATGTTAAAAGAAACGTGTTAATAAGACACGTAACTGGAAACATAATTAAAAACTTATTATATTTTTAGAAAACAGTATGCATTGTCAAACTTTGATGCAGGATTATTTATACCTGCTTGAAAGAAATGAACAAATAAGCTTGTAAGAAAGAAATTGATTGGCATGAAATTATAGATTTTTGGGCACGGTTCATTAATAGAATATGGATTGCGTTCGACAGAATTTTAGACATATAGAAATCTCATGTTTTCACATCAAGACGCCCCGACGTTTTCTTGATGGTAGTCACAAAACACCCCCGCAAAATTGCGTAATAGAATAGGCTTTCTGTCTAGCAAGTTGGGAAGTAGCAGAGACGATCCGGACACGATGATCAAACATTTAGTTGCCAATAAGCACCCCTACGATACAGCATTGTTTCTTCTTACTATTTCTGTGACCAACTATCGGCGGCTAACGTTTTTCCTCTCTTTTGTGGCTAGATCTGTCTGCATTTTTCGAGCGATCATTAGTTAAATCAATTATGCGTTCAACCGGGCATCCTATTTTTGTTTGGATAGTCTGACGAATTATATTGCTTCTATGTGACGATCTATGAGTCAAATGCATAGTAAGAGACATTGCATATAAATTTAGAATAGTCAAATCATTTATGGCTTCCTAAAAAAAATAAGGTTTAAGATTAACTCTTGTTTAATAATCAGTTAGGTTCTTGTATACAATTATTTCTGCTGCTTCATTACCGTCTCTGGATAGCTTCGATTATTAAACTTGGAATGGTCGAAACATTTCACTCCGAGATCATCCTATGAGGAGGAGCAGAGATTGCGTTTAATCTATTAAAGCTATATTTAGAGATGGGGGATAGTAATTACCATTACTATTACAATATTGTAGTAAAAGTAAGACAAACAGCATGTCCTACTATAGCGCGAGTGGTGTTTCAAATGCAAGTCGCGGATAATTTAGATTATTACCGAGCATTTAGAAAGATAAGCTCTGCAATATAATTTGGCATCGGTTCACTTGTAAACAGATCATGTCCCCAACCCGACAAATATCCGATTGGGTCACTATCAGCACGCATAAAAGGCTTTGCCGACAAAGTTGAGCCCGAAACCGCCAAAAAATTGCACCGCTGTGGTGGCAAGTTTTTTTGACCGCCATTTTGAGTTTAGATTAGAATTTTGAAATAAACCGCAAAATGATGTCACTATTTTTAACAGCAAGAGAATTTGTGGACAAACGGTCGCGAGGTTTAATTCGGGAGAATGAAACTCACCTGCAATAATATGATATGTTTGATAAAAACTAAACACTGATAGAATGCCAACTCGTCAAACAATTAAAATGGTATCAAGCCGAGAAAAAAAATTTTATACCATCATATAAAATGAATACTAATTATTACTCGTTCACCTTTTATTAACAAAAACGGTAATAGCATACTAAAACGGTAATCCGCAACGCCACAGATAATTAGACGGAATTCTTTTTCACCGTGTCGCGTTTTGCCAACAATCGATCTTTCGCCATGTCCTTCGACCGTTGTCGGTCATTAGTATTACCCGAGGCTCTAACTTTTCGGGACAAGCGCGGTCAAACAATGCGGCACGAGCTACCAAATCCTTGAGTCGGGTGCGTCGGGGTGCGCTTGAGGAAAAAAAAAAGGCTTCCAAAGGCTATCATTGAACTGCTGTCCGAGCAACAATTCGTGCCTGCGCGGCTGCCGGTTTGTATTGAAATTTGCATATAGTGGCTATTAGCGACCTATTTATAGCTGAGAATTGTACGCAGAATCCAGAGAATAACCAGCGATCCAAAAGCCGTCCTTTTCTGAGTAGTATAACAAATTCAAACACGTCCCACTTTAAAACCTGCGTGAAGATTGCTTGCTGTAAAAGAAGTACTACATGTTTAGACGCTCTAGGTATTAATCAATCAATGTCTAATAATTTTGTAGATATGAAAGTGTGAACCATTGGATCGGGCTCGGAGGAAACAGGAACCTTTTTCAAGGCTGCAGGTTGGTGTTTGTCATCACCACCATCATCATCACCATCATCATCTTCTTCTTCTTCTTCTTCTTCTTCTAATCGGATGAGCGCACTTGATGGTGGTGGTGGTGGTGGTGGGTGGATCTAGAAAACGGATGTGCCATGTCCTGACCGTGCTGCATATTTTAGAGGGAATCTGCCAAGCCAACGACAAATGTCAAACGAAGCACTGGGACCTTGTTATTCAACTGAAGCCTGAGGAGAAGAAGCTGGCGCAGTCGACATCAAAGCGTTTCTTCTAAACATCGTTGAATCGTCAACCAACCAATGAATGCGTGTCTTCAAGCTAGCTAGTTTGCCGTGGGGAGGGAGGAGAAACAACATTACCGGAAATCTCGAAATTATCGTTGTTGAAATTGTCATCCAATACGACCGGATGGCACACATGCGCCTGAAGAGCTGAAGGGGATAATCGCTGGCGATAAGCTCTTTTTGTAATTTGATGATGAGTGAAGGAGTCCCACACTTTGAAATATGAAAAGATTTGTTACCAAGTTATTAACTGAAAGCTATGCGGTTCTGAAGAAGCATACCATTGCCTGCACTTGTTGGTAAGCATCTGATAAGAGCAAAGGGTATCAAAAAATATATGCTTATTTACGCATAATGATTGTTCACGTTTGTAGTTATACTTTCCCTTGGTCGATCGATACATGCGAGTCAAATGTATTTGTTTACACCTGTAATGAGAAAGTACATTTCATAAAATTACTTCCCTGTCATTTACTGTCAAGCCGATGGTGATTATACGGGACATACGTGCCTGCCGCATGATTTTTGTTTATTATGACAGTGATCGAATAGTGATCGAAGGATTTGCGATCACTGAGGGGATGCATAAATTCTTAAAGAACAGTAGATCTTTATCTTATCAGTTCTTTTTGCCAAACCTCCAAATATTAAGATTCTGTACTATAATGGGTGTTCATGGTCTTGGTACACAGGGGCGAAACGCCTCCAACATACGCTACAAGGTAACCATGTGATTCATCTACGTCGAAGCATCCTTCCAATAGAAGATTCTGGGCAGAAAATCCAGCAATCGAATAGACATCTCTTTCCCAAAAAGGACTTTTAAATGGCAACCACTCGGAGGTCGCATTCGGGGGGGGAGGAATCCTGACCATTAAGCTTCCTGCCCAATTGAATTGCATGAGTGTCTGAGCGCGGATAAAATGCAGGGCTAAATCGTGAAAGAAAGATTTGGATGAAATTGCCATTACAGACGTTTTAGACGTCGTTAACGTAGCAAGAGAAGGGTGACACTTACCCCATATGCAAAACGAACTACGAGCAGCATCAGCTCTCTTCCGAGACTTTGCATTTCCTCTGTCTTTTTTGAACAAACGCTTGTGTTGCTCATCCGGAGACAAAGCCAGCAAAAATAAAATACTCTTAATTGGAACTTGAGAGAATTTGCGAGCGTGCAGGATGAGGTTCTCGCCATGTTTTAAAATGTTTGCTTTGCCGAATTCAAGTTGCTTGTCGAAAGATGTATTACGCCCGTTTCAACGAGGCGATAAGTGGGAACGATTGACGAAATATCGGTTAGAGCTTGCTCTCAAGATAACAAAGTTTTCTCTTTAAAAGTTAGCATCACTCTCTTCCTTGTTTGTTTTTTCAGGCGGTGAATAGTTCTTGTAAACCTTTAATTTGTTAATTCGCAATCTCTTTTCCTCGGTTTTATCTCTAAATTCTTTAATTGCTTGATGAGCAATTGTTTGAACCTCGACTTAGTTCTTGGAGAGATGTAAGGACAAATGACGCGAGAATAAACAAAGAATAAAATGAATTCGGCTGCGGTGGTGGTACTGAATACGTTCGTTGATGTATTTGGCATATGTCATGTACGCAAAATAGCATAATTAATGAATGCATATGCTATGTGTATATGATAAGAAAGGGATGAACAAGAATGGTGTGATAATGGCGAGTGAATAGATAAATGAATAAATGAATGAATAAAATAAATATGTACGTTTACTTATTTATTTATTTATAACTAACCTTCTATAGTACGAACACTTAATTATGGTTAATCAAGACAATGTATTTATTTTTCGCTTTGGTGTCAGGTATATTAAAATACCATGGTCAAAAGAACATGCGTTTGATGTCAAACTCTGCTACACATTAATATACGTAGACTGTGTTTAGTACAATAAGAAAATTCTTTATTTTTAGAAGTGACTGTAACAATTAAGATGAATAAGCCCTAAAAATAAGATTTGCGGGAAAGAGTTGTAATACATATTTGTCAAAATATGTTTCGGTATTGGCCGTAATGTTGTGAGAATATCCGATAATGCAAAAAAAAAAAAAAGAATGCCCCGCAGCCAAAAGCCAACTTTGTTACAAACTATCAAGAATCTTCTTGCTCAAAGTCCATAGACGACCAAAATGTCCAATCATGCGACTTTTTCAGATATCTTTAAATGAATTACAAGTGCCGTGTATCATGCCTTTTTGAAGATAGTCCGCTTGATCAACCTCGTACATTCAAATCACAAGTCAATGCTTTGTGGAGTTTAAAGCATATAAAAAGGGAAGAATTTAATGAATGCATAATAATAAAAGAAAAAGAAGGGGGGAAGAAAGGGGGAGAAGGGTGCAAAGGGGGGGGTGTTGGGGTGGGCAAAATTATTACGACAAGAAATACTTAATTAGTCCAAAGAACATGGGGAGACCAGAATTATTTGATAACCAAAGGGACCCCTATTTGCAAGCATTGATGCACGGAATGACTAACCGAAAATGTTCATGTACCTTGTTCGGATCCACAGATCGGCAAAGGGCATACATATTATTTTTTAACGCTCGCAAAAAGTACTGTAAAATTTGTTTGGTACAAGTCTGTGATCAAATTAAGTTCTGCATGTAAAGAGTAAACTCCTTAAGAGTACCCCAAAAAAAAAAGACTCTACCGGAGGGGAGAGGAGTGGAGAAGGGGTGGAGAAGGGGGGAGAGTGGGGTGGAGAGTGGGGTGGAGAGTGGGGTGGAGAGTGGGGTGGAGAGTGGGGTGGAGAAGGGGAGGGAGGTTAAGCAAACGGCTGGTAATCGAAAGGTCTGATGAGACGAGAAAAGACGAGAAAGACGAGGAAAGCGTTTAAAAGCCTGAAAAGCACACCCGCAACAGTGAGAACAATACCAATGTTATTGTTGTTACTGGTTAATTTTTATAATATCAGGAATTAAAAAGTGTAATGGTGGTTTTATGGTGGTTTTATGGTGGTTTTCAGGCTAGTAAAAAAAAAGAAAAAGAGTTTTTACCGGTAGAGTGTGTAGATCACGTCATAAAAAAGGTCAAAAAAGTCTAGCGTTATAACGCTGGGTCGCTAAAAAGTATTTTCCACCACCTCCCCCTGCGACGGGTTTAAACCGGTCAGTTATTGGTACTGACGTGGATGTGTCAAAAAAATCGGTTGTTTCCGTAATAGTGATTTTGTGTTATTGGGTGGGTAATAGTAACGGGCGAGTTGAAATGTTTCAAAATTTAAAGAAATGACTGAAAGAGTCACCGGATAGTCTATATGCTTTCAATAAATACAATAATGCGATATCAAAAATTAATAATGATAATTATTATTTTAATAATAATAAATTTCGCACTGATGACATCATCCGTATTGTGCATTTTCGACATCTCCCCCTCATCATTAATCATGGCAACATGCCAAGGATTTTCATACGATAACAATGGGGACAATGAATACAATATGCATATATATGATTAATATATACCAAATGCAAATAAAGTCGTTAAAAAACTTTAAATAGAATGAGAGGGAAAAAAGCATAAAAACGTAGAAAATGTCGTGCTGTGATTATGTCAAACGGAGGGGGTTATGGAGTTACGGCATAGTAATATAGTAATATAGCAATATAGAATATAGTAATATAGCAATATAGTAATATAGAATATAGTAATATAGTAACAGAGAAATAATAATATAGCAATAACATAGGGCTTGTTTATGTACATATTTAATATACACCATACTTTGCCTCGAGCATCCGACATTCTTCCCCTTGTTTATTTACATTATTAACATTTTTCCCTTGCACGCATTTCCCTGGGGAATTTGGCTGTCTTTTTTCGCATCTTGCCCTTTTACTTTGAAATGAACAGAATAACAACAACAACAACAACAACAACAACAACAACAACAACAACACACAACACACAACAACAACATAGCACAACAACAACAACAACATAGCACAGCAACAACATAGCACAACACAACACAACACAACACAACACAACACAACAACACAGAGCAACACAACACACAATAACAACACAACCACGCATCCCACCCAACACACAAACAACAATATCGTCACTGTCTATTGTCCGTGTGACGAAAATCCCATCAACTCTTCTGTACCACTTTTTTATCTTAATGTCCACTTTTCGTTCATGATTATGAACTATTCCCTCTTTGAACGCTTTTCCCTGTTTAAGTCTGATGCGTATGTGTCACCAATACTTGACCACGAATAGACAGTACGGGAAATCCATCTTTTTTTTAAAAAAAAAAAAATTGGGGTTTTGTTTCAACCTACAGTTTCGCCTCGAATGAAACACAAAAACTTCGGAATCAATCACGGGGGCTGCAGACATTATATTTAAACCTGTTCTACAACAAAATTCCCGTTTTTGTTACAACACTTTTTCTTATCAGTTAACAACTCCTGAATTCATTATTATTATTATCATCATCTTTATTATTATTATTATTTACCCACTCTTTGGTGTGTATCAAATATTAACGAATATAAAATTTTTGTTCTTCTCTCATTAACGCCCGCGTGGTTGGCTTTAGAGTTGAATTATGAACTTTGAATATTAAACAAAAAAAAAAAAGCTATATATCAAAAACAAAAAAGAAAAAGCAAAAAACCACTCCCTCAAAGTTACAAAAGAGCAAAGTCTAAAAAAAATTCCTTGCCGATAGATTAATTGCCTATTTTACAACACACATTCGACTCTCTCCTCTTTCCCTCACTTTCTCTCTTCCATACTCATTTGTAACTTTACTTTTTTTTTTTTTCCACCAACGAAACAAAACCCCTACATACCCTCCTCTTCCTACCCTCTTCTTCCCCTCTCTACACTTGTAACACTTCCTCGTTCACCCGAATTAAAAACCGAGTCTTCTTTACTGCGGCGTGCTAACCCACTGTCAATCTGAAACATACTTGCCGCTGCCGCTCAACCACACCCCACCTCTTCCCACCTACTTTCCGCGTTTTGTCCGTTACTCGTTTTCAACTCTTGACCCATCGATCCCTCGGCCATTAACTATTCAACTTCAGACTGCTTCGCTACCAGCGTTAGTCTTCAAATCTTTTCACTCGAGGAAAATAATTCAGAATGCCATCGCTAAAGAAAGGGCATTGGTCGGCAACTGTAGGTCTCTTTACATGAGCTCTGGTGAAAAGAAAAACATTGTCGTTAGCAACATTTGCTGAATTTTTATGTGCAAATTACAGGAAGACAAGCTCGTACTTGAGCTACATTTACGACATGGTAGCGACTGGAAAGGCATCGCTGCAGCTATGAACGGGGCACGAGACCACAAACAAGTTAGAGAACGGTTAGTATTTTGACAGGCGTTGTCGTTGTAGTTTTCGTTGCGTCGTCATCGTTGTCGTCGTCATCGTCGTCATCGTCGTTGCGTCGCCGTCGTTTAGTCATCGTTGTCGTTTAGTCATCGTTGTCGTTTAGTCATCGTCGTTGTCGTCGTTATCGTCGTTGTCGTTTAGTCATCGTTGTCGTTTAGTCATCGTTGTCGTCGCTGTTGGTTGTTGTTATTATTGTTATTATTAATATTGTTATTGTCGTCGTCGTCGTCGTCGTCGTCGTCGTCGCCATCATTGTCGGCGTGGTTGTCGGCGTGGTTACCTCTATCTTCTTTTTTCTCATACAATAAAACTAACGATAAATACCCATTTTTTTGAAACTCTACTTTTAGATACGTCAACCACTTAGACCCATCGAGTATGTGTTTGTCAATCTTTTCTTCTTTTTCTTTTTCTTTTCCTTTTTTTCTTTCTTTTTTTGTTCATCCGATTGCTTATTCTCGTTTTGCACATTTCCTCTTCCAACCAATATAGTAAACCACGACCGGTTTTCAGTTGAAGAAGAGCGAGCATTGGTCAAGTGGAATAAAATAGAAGGCCCGCAGTGGGCTGTATTTGCTCGCCGCATGCGAAATGGTGATGGTTTTCGACGCACAGCGTTACAAGTAAAAAACTTTTTCCATCGTACGGCTTGCCGAAAGAACAAACGTCAAAAGGATGCTCCTATGGAACAGCAGGCTGCAGTTGATGAGCGACCTAATTATGATGGACGGTCAGGAGCAAGTTTGGCTCAGAATGTACGAGGCGAAGAGAAACCCCGTGGGCGAATCAAGAGTTTGATGAATATTAGGAACTTGTTGAACTAGTTCTTTCGAATTTATTCTGTTTCTCTTTTTTCGCTTTATAGTTTTTCTTCTTTTTCAGATGCTCGAAATTGTAACGTTCGCCTTTCTTCGCTATGTAATTTTCTTTCAATTTGTTTGAGTTTTTTGTTTTTTGATTTCTCGACTGTTTCTGCCTTGATAATGTTTTTGCAAGTTGAACGCATTATCTATCGATCGTGCTTGGGATTTGTTTTCCTTGTTGGAGCATTACTTGTCGGACAGAACCAATTGACAAGTGGTGACAATTATAGTTTCGCTTTATTTTTATTTTGTATTCTTGTTGCAATGGTCAAATACTTTGCGCTGTACTATGAGAACAATTAGATCTGAGATTTATTTATTAGTTACGAGTCCCAAATAGGAGAGAGTCTTTGCTCATCGCTCTGTAATAAATACCCGTTCAATCTCCTCGTCCTGGAGTAAGTGGGTATTGTAGACGGGATGATAATTTAAAAAGAAAAAAGTACTCTATTATCCGTCCTTTTGCGTATCGGAAACTTTAATGTTATTAGTAGTTCTCTTTACTGTTTAATTTGTTTTTTTTTTTAGAAAAAAAAGAAAAGAAAAAAGAAACAGAAAAAAAAAGTACTATAGGAAAACTACTACTGTATTTTACACAAATGAAAATTATTACTGCATATTGAATCAATGAAAAGCCTCTTTAGGAAGGGAAAAAAATTTTTTTTAATTGGAAACCGGTTTTGAATTATCACATTCATTCATTTTATTACCGTAATTGATCATTCTTTGTCAACAGTTGATTCTGCATCATTAAAGTCTGCTTTCGTCATTATCAACCCACTTCTGTGGTATCATCACCAAGATTAGGAAGTCGTAAAAGCACAATAGATATAGAATTCCACGTTCATTGGCTGGCTATAGAGGTCAATGATATCATAATTGACCATGGTGTCGGCGGGGGGAAAAAGAATTTGACCTTTATATTTTACATCATGCGAAAATCAGGTTTTGGACTAATCACAGTGACTTTTTTCTATCGTCTCCGGGGTTCATTTATAAATGAGATACTATCATCACCAATTAAATAAGCTTGGAGATGAGTTCACATTTTACACCGGCTGTGAGTAGTAATAATGTTGAGGAGGGGGGAAAATGCTAGTAACATTTTTTACCGTTAATGTTGCCCTCATTATTTTAGGAAGATGCTCAATTAATCAATTTGTTTCGAGTCTTTGGTTCTCGATGGCAACAAATTGCTGCATTAATGAGGACGAGAAGCGCTAGATCCATTCGCGAACGGTAAAATAGTCGTGATAATGATGTCATTGTTACATAGTTTTCTCTTACTTATTGATTCATTGTCCCCGGACAGTTACGTTCATCATCTAAGTCCTGGAAGTAGGTACACATTTCCCGGTTGCAAAAATTGTGCATACTCTGTGTTTGTTGTCTAATACTAGTTTTATTTTGACAAGTTGATTCGAGCCCATTGACGGTCGATGAACAAACCAAAATTCATCAATTGCATGAAATACACGGATCTAAATATGCTCTTATTGCGAGACATCTCTCTGGCAGGACGAGTCTCCAAGTCAAGAATTTCTGTTATAATCGCTATCGACGTGTGTCCCATCGTCCTCCACAGCCTCTGGTTTGCACACGCTCGTCCAAAATGGAGATTTCGCATTTGCTGAACAAAGTGTCTTGAGCATGGGGTTCGATCACGCGGAAAAGAAAACGTAGAAGGGTTGGGTGGGCCTTGTAATGTGTAGTCCATCATGTATAATGCAGGCTGGAACTGTACGTGTAAAAAATAGAAAAGATACATTTTTAGGTAGAAATTAATTATTAATATAGGGGTAATTGTCTTTTAAAAACACCATTTATGGACTTTGACCAATGAAAATTAAAAGTTGAAAGTTCGTGTTTAATCTATTTGATATGCATTTCTTCTTACCAAGAAGCTTTGCAAACAAGGACTGGCTTATAACATGAAACGTTCGCGATAGACTAATTAATAAATTCCTGGAAGCAGGGAAATTTTTGTTCACCAAAAATCGCTTAGCAAGAGTTATTTGACAGGACATTTGGTTGGATGCCATGTTTACGGCTAACAAATGTCGTACAATTTTGCGCTTCAAGACAGGCTAACAGGCAAAATAGTAATTACGACGGTTGGTCCTTCATATCGGAAAGTCAGACATATGCATAATGGTTGGAAACTACTACTAATTACGATCATCATTGTCATGTGCGTGTGGAGCCGTTGCATATTTTATCAAATTCTGCCAATTGAGGAATTATTGCTTCCGGCAAATTGCATACGCGTCACAAGTAATCACTTGCGGGTAAATCGTCCAACCGTTCTACGAGACGGGCCGTTAAAATGATAACCTTTAATCAGCGAATCCCGCTCTTGCAAGACTGCGATGACGGATGCTTTGCATCCGGTTCACTATAGATGCATATATAGGTGCTTGTCTTCTGCGGCTGACCCATTGCAACAATTGCATTTGACACATTATAACTGGAACTTTCTCAAAATCCAAAGAACATAATTTAATAAAACGCCGCGCGAGACGCCTCCTCGGGCTATGCTCTTGATAGGTTCAACGGTGAGGTAGCCAGTAGAAAGATTATAGAATTTTCGAATGAAAAACGCACCCTACATTTGCCAGAAAAATGAGTAATTTGTGACTATTCAGTTCCAAAAATAAATTACCAAAATTTATTAGGCAAAGTACAAGGTAATATTGCCTTAGTGGTGACTCGAGGTGTGGAAATTTGCCCTGATAAAAAAAAAAAAGAATTCATGTCAAAAAAATTTTTTTTGGCTAACGGGGCTTTAAAAGAATATGTCAGGGGAAGGGGTCGCGTTATTTTAAAGTGCCTTATCCATCACTCCCTACAAAGCAGACTTTTATAATACTTTATTTATTGCAACAAGAGCTAAAATGGCTGCTAAATAGCTCAATCACGAGAAGATATTGCTCGCAACAGAATTGGTAGATTTGCTATAACGGCAAGATTTTCCCCGCCAAATCTCAAACATGCATCATTCATCGTTTCTCCTCAATCACAAGTAACACTGTTTCAAATTATACGAGCTTAACTTGTACGTTCAAAATCATGAAAGAAATCTGTGGCATTCAGCAGTTTTAAACACACCTCTCCTTCTCCTTCTCCTTCCCCTTCCCTTCCCCTTCCCTTCCCTTCCCCTTCCCCTTCCCTTCCCCTTCCCCCCGAAATCTTGAACGCTCCGAGTTGTTGTTGTAAAGGAAAATATTAGTAGTATGGCTGATTTACATACTTGCTAAGCCCCCTCAGTATATCGATTTACTCCCGAATGTAGTAATAGAGGAGACCACACATTAGATCGCTGACGCACAGTTACATCAGATCTACATCGGGATCGCTGTCGTTTCCCCAATCGAAATCATCGAGTTCTTACGTTGAAGCGAGCACGAAACACCGCGATATCCAGAATAGACTTTTCGAAAGGCTCAGACCTAAGGGATGCCCTTAATTAGATAGTCGCATATTCGTGGTATGATGTAACCGCCAATATATATGCATGAAACAGCCTGAACAAAGAAAAAAAAAATTTTTTTTTTGAAAAAGACCCAATAAGAATGTGTAAAGAGAGAACAATGAAAATAAAATAAATTAAATAAAATAAACAAAATAAAATAAATCAGTTATTATTTCTTTCCTAAAATTACCGTGATGCAGCAACGTGTGTCCTCTTGACCCTTGCGATCTCACATTCGTGTTACTGAATCTGCTCACGCTCATTGTAGAATCATATGCGAGACCATTATGGGATATCGATCTGTATGTATAGTATATGCATAAACATTGGGCAATTCAATAATAACGTGTGAAATTTGTCGCACAATCTGTTTCTGTCTCAACGAACCAATCTAAAGTGCAGCCCACGCTGATGCAACATACTTAACATATACCCAGTCATACCATCGCTAGATGTTCTATAATTATCGGTTATTACAACCAAGGGTGCATCTGCTTCCTCCAGGAGTGCAGCAATACACGTTTCTAGAGATTGAATCTTGATGATGATGGGTTGGGTGGTAGGTGGTGGTATGAATGGGTGGTGGTATGGGTGGGTGGTGGTATGGGAGGGAGGGAGGGAGAGGGGACCGAATGTGTTTCCCCTTCCAACGGCCAAAATAGAGTTGCAAATTTAGAGTTCGAGTCCAAAATATTTTGAAAATTAGACTTGCCCTTTATGAAAAATGTGCCGATTTGATGGGGCAGGTGAATAGCAACAATTGTAAGCTTGACCTTAAAAGAAGGGTGGGGAGGAAAGGGGAAAAGAGAGAGAATCAATGACACTAAATTCGTTAAAAGTATTAAACCTTGATCTCACGGTTGAACGAGAGAATGAGGCATTAAATCAATGGCACTAAAACATTGTATGCTCAGAGACGTGGCCAAGGCCGAATTTCTATACCATCTTGCAATTCAACAAGCATTCAATTTCTACCAACCTGAACGTCGCTTCACTATACAAAATTAAATCGATGACAAGATGGTCATTTCGATTTGGCAAAATTTTTAATCACATGAACTAATTGCAATCAACCAATAATAATGTCAATATAAATACCGATACTATAACTAATACATACAACTTATCACGTGAATAATTTATTAAATTTAGTATTATTATTATGAAAAAATCTTTTATACAATACAAAATATTGAATTACCTATTATTTGTACATACATAAACAAAACTCATGTAAATATGATAAATATCCAAATCATAATGTCATGTCGTAATTCAAAGTTGTCTCAGATCCAACATGCGGAACAATGGATTTGATCTGGTGCGAATACTGCCAAGTTCAATTCAACAAAAAGTCAATTGACATGCGCGAAAGTTTGTTCAAGGTTCGTCTACGCAATCGACGGGATAGTTCGCTTCGACGCTTGTTATACCAAAAATTGCGTACTTGTAATTGGGTGCGTCCCAGCTTTTCAGCAATCTCGGTCCATTTGCCGCCGACTTTGTTGTACAAGTTTATAATTGCTTGTCCCTCAGCCTTGGTCAGAGGGCCATATTTAACTAGTAAAAAGATGAAGGTAAAAAAATTCCATCAGTGCGCCGTACGTCATGTCAACATGCAAATATGACAATCAAAGAAAAAACTAACTTCCTGGCTTAAGATGATTTATAAATCTAACAATTGATTGAATTGAACAATAAAACATCGACTGACTCGGGAAGCAAACGAATGTCTGATTGTGGCAACAAACACATAAAAATAATTACCTTTCGCGCGCTTGCTTATGATTACGCGTTGTCTTCATATTGTTAACAATATCCACCCATTTCGGGCCATGGATCTTGTACAGCTTTATCAATTCTTTATCCTCCTGTTAACCAAGTAGAACGCTTAGGATCCGGTTATCGCTATCCCAACACACACACATGCTAGCTAGAAACTAACAATCGACCAGTATATGCGAACCATTTACCGAAGGAGACCAATACTCGATGCATGAGACTTTTCTGCGAGAAACAGGCATGCGTGGCATCACCAAGTAAACGTAATATCGACTCGTTAGCAAACAAAAGCGCAAAGAGTGGATGGTTCTGGCAATTTAAGCTGGTACGTACCTCCTCTGCGGATACCGAAATTAAAGCTCGAGAATGTTCTTGCAATTTCCGGTCAAAAACATTATTAGATATTGATGTATATTAGGTATTCCATGTGACACTTGTATTCCAAATGTGACCAAGAGCGGGTCTGACCGGGGATATCGTATTATCTAGGACATTCTACAAACATCTAAACACACAAACAGTTTCCTGGGGCCATACGGTACAGTCAGTACAGAAGCGTCGGTATGACACACATCCATGCAGCCGCAGCAAATTATCCTTTACGCTAACCCTAACCCTAACCCTATCTCATCCATACAGAGAGAGTAGCACAGCATACATGCAAAGGAAAAATACTGTACAGGCGTGTCACACTCAAGAGGCTATCACGAGCATCTCCCACATCTTTCTTCATTCTCCCATCTTTGTAAATAACGAGTTAACACTAGCGTGAATAATATTTGAGGTGGAAAAAAAAAGAGAGTGAAAGTTTCTTTACCATTTGGCGAAAAAGTGGACCAAGCAAAATTCTTTTCTCATGCACAAAGCAGGTTCGAATTGCCGATCCGATCTACATTGGTGGTTCTGCATTATGTCATCATTTGCGCTATTATCGTAGAGTGCGGTGAGTGAATTAAACAATATTTCCCCACCTTTTCTACAACCAAATATTGTTTATCAGTAGCTTATATTAACATGATCTACAATATTTGATCATATGATAGCTAATGACAATTCTCAAACCGAAAAAAAAAATTTACATTAATGGGTCCTGCGCGATTATGTAGCTGTTGCAAGTACGCCCGCTTTCTCTCCAGACAAAGAACATACTTAAATGCTTGAACGGGAAAGCAATGGTTCTTTACAAGTATGGGGTTTATTCATTCTCACGACATGACAAAGTTTTTATTGTCAAATAAATTAATTATTAACGAGGTCAAGAATAAAGAATATTTATCCACGTATCATTAATCATTTGTCAGGACGTTCTTTTTTCTGTGGGAACAAGAAACTCATCACATGCACAGATGAATAGGAAACGGATTCGTCAAGTTTGGCGATCGTCCCAAGCTGGCAATCGATCATATGAAAAAGGGCTTGGCTTTTTTCAGAGTCTTTTTCTTTTTTTAATTGGGGGAAAAAATATGCTGCTCGGATAAAAAGGTCTGCCTGCCTACCTGCCTGCCTACCTGCCTGCTTGCAGCAAACAGCTCAATTTCTTTATTGGGTAATCTCTTTAGATTCCTTCTGAAACCTTTTCTCTCCACCCCCCTAATAATCACCCGCATGCATCGGAAATCTAAATTGGATGTATAACTTGCTTTACTTATCAGCCGCATCATAAAGTGGGGAAGGGGAGAGAAAAATAACTTTATTTCCGTTAAAGGACATATGAGTCTGTATGTAAAGAACATCCTTTCAATGAATTCTAATTGGGCATTTTATATTCGAGTCGTTTTTCATTGGCACAAAAGACGAGAAAAAAAAAACCTTACGAAATCGTTACCAGCAGCAAGTGCGTAAGCTGTCTAAGCCATATGCGAGCCTAAATAAAACGTATATTTAACCATACTATTGAATGAGTCTCGTGTGTAGATATCGTGTATATATATATACACACAACCCAATTCAAATCTCGACTCTTCAGACATTCTCCCAAACTAAAAGCGTTCAATGATTTTATGATATCAAAGAATAATCCCCTCCAACCAAGAACTTTTGTTGTTACCCTCATTGTAACGACATGCCTAGGAGGAAGTATTGGACGCCTTCTGTACGTGAAAAAAAATAAAATTTTTTTAGAGTTTTCCATATTCTCTCTTGTATAAACATTGCCATATTCAGCAATGTAGTACAGCCTGAGCGCCTTTAAACTCGTATTGAATGATTAAATTTGTTACAGCAAGACTATCAATTGAGAGAATTTGTTGAAACTCACGGCCCACGTTGGGGAGATATTGCGCGGGTTATTGGCAATAATACGACGGGGAAGCAATGTCGTGAGAGGTTGGATTAACGAAATTAATTTAGCAAACTTTATTATTTTTTTTAAAGACACGCAAGTTGTGAATATAAAAATAAAACAATGTCTGTTTCAATCCAATTAAAATATTTTTTAGGTACAGAAATCATCTGGATAGGAAAAGTAAGTGAAATAAATGTATGCCGTCAACTCTTTTTTTTGTATGCTAAAAATCTTGTCTCTAATCTTTTTTTAACTTGCAGTAAACCATTCGAAATTAACATTGTTGGAGCAAGCCGAGATCTACCGGTTATACGAAAAGCATGGATCAAAGTGGGCATTAATTGCTGCACAACTCCCGGGAAGAACTTCGTTACAAGTCCGTAACTTTTATTACAATGTTCGTCGTATAGCCAAACGTCGTGATCCGGCAAGAAAGATGTCGGTATCTTACATCTGCGGGAAACCGCAGTAGACATTTTTCTCGTAACTTCGTGACTCTTCGTTGAACTTCGAATACACTCGTTTAATCGCAACCCCTCCTTTTTCTTAACTATCCCAAATCCATAGTGTTATTTCATTATGGCACAAAATTACCTACCGTTTATAAGATTTTTTAATATGTGTTAATTTATATGCTAAGTTTTTAAGTATGGCAATCAACATTAAAAACCCGGGACCGTAAAATATGTACCTTTAACTGAAAGTCCCGTGATGACCCAGTTAGAGTTGAAGGGAGAAGAAGGGGGGTAGGGGTGTGTGTGTGTGCGTGTGTGTGATGGAGGAATATTTCTCATGCAGGTGAATGGGCCAATTCCTGACTCGGTATATAATCGGTATTCAACTCAATAGTCACTTCCATATTAGATCATTGTTTATAACAGGACAAACGCCCATCATAGGATTTCGGATCAATGCACTGACATCTCCCCCCGTTCGCTTTATGCACATATTCCCCACTTTGGTATATTGTATTATAATGAAAACCAGGTTTTGTTTTCACTATTGTTGTCTCAAAATAGATCAAGTTTTCAGGAAACCCATCCCAGGCTTGTGCGACTAATAATCTCTTGCTTTTAAAACGAATTTAACCTTTCAATCAAGCAAATAACAATCAGTAACAATCACTAACATTTCAAAGCAGACAATCATTCAAATTTCAGACCATTTACTCACTCTTTTGATCGGTATCATTACTCCGAGCATCATATCACAGATGATGCACGACTTGTTCTTGTGAACGTCAAAGTGTGCTTAAACTTGATAATGTTGAATACTGTTTAGAAATAAAATGATGTTAACACAGATGCTATTATTCGTAAAACAAACTACTATTTCAGACAGGGTCTCACTACTGACCGTACAACTTGTTTCGCTTTCCGGGATGTTGACATTTGTCAATCTATTGTCGATTGATTGAATTAGTCTTTACGCATCTGTCATGAATCAAAACGACTTGACGAGGCCTTCTTACTTTCTATGACTCACTTGCTACGATAGAGAGACATTTATAACCGGCGTAGTTAAGGATGCCGTTTGCCCTTGTCTACTGATTTGCTTCCCAAGAACAATCCATATGATACCAATCTTTGATTAGAACACAATCCTTCATCCAAAGTTCCATTTTTCAAAGAAGCCGAACAACATTCTAGTTGCCCTTCTAGATTTAGAATCTCATATTCCCTTGAGAGGCTATGCAAATACAATAGATTTCCTACATGGTTTCCTGTCAAACAAGCGGAAAAACATCAACTTACGGTATCCGTGATTCAAACTCACAGATTTAGAGCAAACGACTGCAAAAAGGTATCTTATAAGGGTGACGGTGACGGTACTGATAATGGCATCTGAATGAAAGTCTCACCTTACTGCATGAAAAAGACCACAAACGCAATGAAAGAAAAGCAATGAGATAATTGAACAAGGCATATGCTTATTTAAACTGTGTGCTAACACTCCGTTAACGGTCCCGCACCATGGATAGGCAGGGTTCCGATGGATAAGAACAGGGTTCGAGTCAGGAAAAAAAGAAAAAAGGTAATATTGTTATCAACAATGAGATAGCTACATATCTTTTAGCAATTCCCTTTTTGTCAGCACCCGTTGCCCTAAAACACGCGATTACTAATGATAAGACGGGTAGATGCATAACTATTGTCATTTCTTGAATACTCGGCGTATTGGGTACAAAGGGGCGCAACTGTGTCTCAGGGCTTGGATAAGCTCGCGAGAAGATAATCATGCTAAATTTGTTCTCAAATGGTACCCTGTAATTGACGAACATTACCCTCTTTATCGTTGATGCATGAAAATGAAGATAGAAAATAATCAGGTGCATGATCTAACAATACATTTTTGATTATCTCGATAATGATTCTTTCCTAATGAGAATTAACATTTGACGATTCTTCACATGGGTTTAACATTATTTTAGTATTCGACAATGACGCAGAAACTTGTGATTGCTGCCGAGTAGATTGTTTTAACACAATAGCAAGGGGAAACCCTATTCAGCGATAACTCTATTCTTTGAATTGTCACAAACGTGTGAATTTACTCAAGCCACAAATAACTGCATGAACATCATTGGGTAGTGTATAGTCGACGAGGGGGAGAGTCTAGCCAACTTTTTTGAGAGACGAGATTTTGGAATACTTTCTTGAAAGATGCAATTGGGTGAAATTCTGCAACATCCCCCATTGTTACCGGAGATGCTGAAGATCTCAATGAAACACAAATTACAATGTATAAACAAGACTTATAAAGAAACGTATTATAAAACACATGTCATGGGTTATCACATAAAAGACACCCCTACACACAAGTCGCTAGCATACAAGTAAGACTCAATTATGTCCGACATTGCGAGCGCAGAAAGCCAATGGACCGAGCAGGTTAGAAAAAACTTTTGTGAATCGTTGGCCCCAACGCCGATTGTCGATTGGTGTAATTAATCATATGGTCCACTGAAAACGCATAGCGAACATTTATGCTTATCGAGATGGCGGGGGAAAAAAAAAACAATTGGAAGGAGATAGGGAGAGCGATTGGTATTAATCCTAAAGCTTGTAGGGACAAGTGAGTATTCATTGATAAAGGGTTTCAACACAAATAGTTATATAAATCTGATTATTGTGTTTTTGTTAGGTATGTCTACTGCTTAGATCCCAACAGTAAGTAATTTCATTGCGGCTGAATTATCTGCAAGTGGCGATGAATTTGCTAAAACTTTTTAATCCCTTGTTTGTTTGTTTTTTGTTTACTAGTCAATCACGAACCCCTTTCGATTTCCGAAAAACAGCTCATCGTACAATATCAAATGGAGCATGGGAATAAGTGGGCCTACATTGCCGCTCTTTTGAATAATCGGAGGAACGACCGGCAAGTTCGCAATTTTTGGTATTCCGAGCGGCGGAAGCAGCGCGGAAACCAAAGTAACGAGCGTCCCGAACGGCCGCGTCACCATCAGGCATCGTTCAATCCAATGTCTATTCAGAACCTCCTGAACCCGAAAACATGATAACGACCAACCGTCCTCGGCTTCATCTCGAAATATTTTACGCTCGCAATCAATGTACAGTATATCATCCAACAACACACAACCTATTTAATGCCGACTTGACACCCAGCCAAGTCACCTTAAGCCGGGGGTAATTTTAATACCCTTGGCGAAACAACTTATGACATTCTCACGTGATATGATAGTCGGTCCATTGCTCTTTCTTTCATCTCTTTTATTTTATTTTATTTGTTTACTGTAAATATTTGTCGGGCTTCTGCTCTGAGGGAGGGGGAGGAGTTCTGCTATCTGGCCAACAATAAACAAAAAAAAATAAAATAAATAAGGCACTTATTCTTATGTAATTACTATCTCAATCTTGTCCTATTGGTGCTCTTTGGAAATGGCATTAACGTTCACATTTAGTATTTGGGGGAGCATTTCTCTTGATATCAATGTTAATACTTTATCGAGTTATCAATAGTTCTTTTGCTTTGTCTTGTTCTCAAGCCTTGTCACTCTTTTTATTTTGTATGTGTATAAATTACATTCTTGATATCTTTCTGGGTTCCGAAACTCTGAAATAAATCCATCGGTCACGAGGAAATACAAATATTTGTCAAACATGTACAAGTACAAAATGTTATTCCCGCTTTACCGCATTAACCCGCAGCTAAAAGTGGGGGAAGAAGGTGGGGGAAGAAGGTGGGGGAAGGGAAAAGCGGGGGAGGCAAACTAAGATGGGGTGGTGCATGCAGGTGTTAGTATCGGTATTGCAAGATACATAGATAGACATAGATTGACAGATAGATAACAGATGTATTACGTCACAACAATGGTTATTACATTCATCACACATCTCGTTGCAGTCCCATTTTATTGCCCCTTTGGTCCAAAGGCGTTACAATAAATGGGTTTTCTACCCCTTGTACTTTTGCTGGAAACTCAATTTATCCAAAGGAAAAAAGTTGAATTTTTTTTCCGATTTGACAGTATTGCGGAATAAATATAGGTGGTCTGTTTCACCATGTTTCGAAAACAATGATCCGTTTCCTTATAACTATTAATGTATTTTGTTAACATTTCTTTAAACGAAATGAATGCACTCGTCGACTGACTTGGAAAGAAAGCAGTATCAGCTGTGCTACCATAAAATGTGCAAAATGTGTTATATAGAGTCATTTGCGGCCGTTATTGATTCAAGGTTTGAATCTCAATACGTGGCAAAGGATCCACAAATTACTAAAGTGACGTTTCAATGACTGTCAACTTTGGACCAGGTTGTATAATATAAATAACCTAGTGTCCACAATCATTACGATCAACATCGCCTACCTATCCTCAACAACCTCCGTTCTCAGATAAACTGACATTTTGTTTCCTTCCTGACTTTGGATTATTATTATTATTATTATTATTACGGTCTTCTTTTACTTATTGATTGGACATGCGTTGGACATCCCAGGTACTTGACCTTAAATATGATCTAAACGGCACTTTTTTAAAAGGCGTTCGGATGCGTTAACCTCTGCCCCTTTCTTGTACAGGAGGATAAGGAGTTGTTGAAACATTACGAGACGCATGGTCCTCAATGGCAGAAGATTTCTTGTATGTCGAAACCCCATCGTTCACCAAAGTCAGTTAGGCAACGGTGAGTTTAAAATGTGTATACTATATATAATTTTATCAAAACTTGCAAAGTGTACTAACGCTCTCTTTCTTTTTCCAAAACATGTCTACTTTAGTTATTTATTTCATTTATGTCCCGGAAGTAAGTACATACACACATAGAGCACATGCTAACCGATAATAGCCATGATGAAACCGACAGATACAAATCACTTTTTTCACATTCGTTATTTAAACCCTCGTTTGTTTTTCTTTTCTACAACAGTTAATACAAAACCTCTTACGATCGCAGAGCGTCAAAAAATAATCACACTGAGCAAGGAATATGGTCACCAATGGTCAAAAATAGCAAAGGCGTTGGAAGGAAGAACGTCACTACAAGTGAAAAACTTCTGGCATAACAGCCATCGTAACCAACCGGAAAAAATGTCAATTGACTACATCGTTAATTGATAACGTCTTTTAGCGCGCAAAAAACGACGACAAAAACCTTTTTGATCAAACACTTCGCCTTTTCTGTCCTTTTTTTTTTTCGCCAAGTCAATTTGTAATTACAGTATAACTCCTCCCTCTCCTTTCTCCCCTTCTTCCAATAATTAAGCTAATCTCATAATTTGCAATATGAATCGTTATTCGCTTGAATGTAAAAGTTTCGATTTCGACAAATAATAAGATCGCACAATTCGTATAATTCGCAGAATTTCGCACCGCACTTACCATACAAATTCTACAAAAGAATAAATTTTCGTAAAACAATAGCACATCGGTAACTTAATTACATGCAAGTAACCTGCATGTGAGACGTTTCGTATTCGTGTCATTATTTCTTTTTGGGATAGACTGTTTATTGTTCGTAATTTCATTGCTAACCTAACTCGGATATGGCTCCAGTTTTTCGGATTTTTTCCCCCCTCGCCCCCGCCAAGAGCAGTCGTTATTAAAGCATCATGTGACTACAACTGACAAGCATCGTTAAAACAATAACCTTTGGCATGAACGCCCTTGTCATCGGCTCATGCGACAAATCGACAAGCGATACAATTAAAATTTTCTTTTGGTTCTTAAACCCATATTTATATTTTGATGTGATACATACTCATTAGCACATGTAAATTCTGCAATGATACATTGATGTGAACTAATCAATCCATCTATGTATCAAAAGAGGTGTTGGATAGTTGGTTCAGACAGTTTGACAAAAAGTATGTAAAGTGCAAAGAGTTTTAAATAAGTATCGTGATACGTCCGTTAGTTTGTTCACCTATATCAAAATACAAACAGCAATGATAATTAGTCGTTCAGGCAAAAGTACCAAAACAGTAGCCAACTACCGGATTAGTATGCGATTATATTTCTTGTGCTAGTGATGGTGGCAACCTCAAAGCTGAATATGTTAATAATATACTAATATTGCTTTACAAGTAATCGGTAACTGAGATTCTGTTCCGTCGACGTTAACATGTGATAATAATATTTGTTAAAACGTATCAGTGGTATGTATTTACAGAGACATTTTTCTCACAGCGCCATCGCGTGCGTCGAATTGGTAGCGAGTCTCAGACGTCGATATGTAATTTTTCATCCAGAGTATATTATTCTCCTATAGTAATATCGAGAGTCTAGTAGCATAAAAAGTTGGCCTATGAAATGATTTTCTGCTCCTAATAAATTTGCAACTCGTTGATGCACAGTGTTAATAGTAATTATAAGTTGTTTCATATTCGATATATATGTCTGTCAAAAATAGCTTATAAGGCTTGTAAAATAAACGTTATCAATATTGGTTAATTTATCTTATTGTAATTGGTATCTATGATTCGTTTATCGTGTCGATTACTGTACTTGATCACATCACATCATCTCTGACAAGTCTTACAAGCTAACACTGCAGAATGGATGGATGCCTGACAATGTCGGCGATTGTTCATTACTAACAGACTTGACGGGTCTTTTCTATAAAAATCCCGACAAAAGAGACGTGGTGTTCTTTTAAGTAAAACTTGGATCGAACTGAGTAGCTACTAATTCTCTAATTAATAGCGCTTCTTATTATACAAACAGCAAATTAGACACCGCTGAGCTGTCTGTTAAAAAATTAACCTTACACAAACATTTAATATTTCTCTAGATGATAGCGTAGACGCACTTTTGTACATAGCGGACGTTTTGACAACTATTAGTATAAGCAACGTGACAAAATCCGGTGCTATGAAAGCATGATTCAAACAACTTTAATAAACTTGCGCAATGTCGAGCCACTCAGAAAGTTAGCATAACACTCGGGCAGCTTGAAAAATTGCAAAGTTCCAGTAATTCCATTTGAGAAAAGAAAAGAAACTTGCAAATGCTGTTTGTCTGATTTTATTTTTAGAAAAATGTAAAAATTTGTATTTTGCCAGATTGATAAACTCATGTATTCCATATTCAACTATTTTAATTTGTATATGTTGTATCTTAGTTGGAGAGCTGTCTCAGTTTTGTAATAAATCAGTGCTTGTTTCTAATTAATTATTTTATTATATCTCAATGAGCATAACTAGCGTTTTAGAAAATATTCCTTTTTACATACATACAACGGCACTTATAAAGACTTGCCAAATTATCAAAGAACAACAAAGTACCATGTAAGCATTCAGCAAAACATATTGGTACAAATTTTACAGAACATATGAGGGAACATTTTCACTTGTATCCCAAAAAATTTTAAGTTTTTCGATTAAGCGTTGATGATAGAGAACACTTTGTTTTTTCATTATTAGCGATAAACTCGTCAAATCCTCCTTTCTTTGCTTCTTTTTCTATCCTTGTAAGTGGGGTAGAAAGGATACTTATGCCCGCCAATGTATATACCTCTCTACATTTACGATCACTGGTTTCAGCAGACCGCCTGGCGTAACTGTAGAGGGAGACGACTGTAATAGAATTTACGTAATTAACTGGTGGACTCTCTATAAGATTATCTAGAGTGATTTAATTATTTTTAATATTTTAATCAATAACTCCACAAATGTCTGTATTCAAATAATTTTACCTTGAGATATATTTATACGATATCCAATTTTGGCTATAACATTCAAAGTTTGTATATTGAAATCAAATTTTGTATTTTGTTTCTACACTATTAACATGCATTTGTTCTTGCCCGAATCGCAATTTGGACCGCTGTAAAATGGATCAACTACTCCCTGGCCTATTTCAAAATTTTGCTGATATTCGAATTACACAAATTTCATGTGATGCACTAAAAATGTATTATAGTAGCTAAGACGTGGGTTATACAATTCGTAATGTTAGTTTTGTTGATATAATCGCTAACATGGCTATCTATGATAAAAATAGAGTGATACCTAATATTGATTGTACATCCGACACGAAATCCCTCGCAAGCGTCTGCGCTACAATCTCGCAAATTTTATTTTGGAAAAGTTTGTGTTTGAACATCTGTGGGTATGAAAGAGCAAGAACAAATAAATTAATGACTAAACATTGTCCAATCGCGTAAACAAACGATTGCACTATAAAGATTTCCGTATCATCAAACGATAACTTATGAGGTGACAAAATCACTGTTACAACAATAAAATCTCGTTGTTTGCGTTCTTTATTGATTGCACAACAATAAAATCTGGTGAGTGTTTGTGCTAGCTTTGTTGAACTTGATAACATACCAATATCACACCAATATCACTCACAAAGACAGCAAGACTCAAAGTTCGGCAGCAATAGTTTATTATTGTAAAATACAAGTAGAGTTTATGAAAACATCAGGTATTAATGTGGTTTGAAGTGTCAAAAATACGGCAAACGATGTAATAAGTATTAAATATAAATAATATAATAATAATTAATATCGAAAATACATTGTTCACATTCGAATATGAGATAAGGGATAGCTGGACCATTCTAGAACGGTCCAAACTGCAATCTGGACTAGAACATCTTAATATGAATGAATTGCAAACAATCATGTAATATGACGATAACGTATTGCCAAATATGGTGACTTTTTTTTTTTTTTCAACTCGACGACATATTCCAAGGATCATAGAGACGCAAGTCATGCAAGTCGATTTTTCAGGCTTTGCGGCATCCACCAATAGTTTATTGTCAGAAGCTTTGCCGGTTGATACACTGTTATCCGAACTGAGTTCAGAAATCGTACATTTGCAATCAAAGAACGGAATCTGCACGCATTTTGATTTATATCCAGTTTTATCATGTCGACCATTCTTCCCTTTGACAATTATATAATAGGCATTAAAAGTATTCTAAAGTTGACAGATGACGGGTGTTCGCTCCGTATAATTAAGGTATTACATAATTTGTAATTGTGCTTCAATTGTTGTATCTATAATACAATAGACATTCCGGTCAAGATTGCGAATATTCGAAATGAGTTTGCAAAGCGTACGCGTTTTATTACTGAGCAAGTCTAAATAACTGTGAGCCTAATCTCTATCAGTATCGGCAATATAGCTTATTTCTAAGCGTATTCGAAACATTGAATTGGAATACAGCACATTATTTGCCATCAGCTTAATATGGATTTGGATGTTGCACATTGGTGGCTACGGGGATGTTGGTAGGATTGGAAGATTGGTGAAAGTTCAAGGTGGCATGCAAGAAGAGACGTTGCTGACCGAAACTTGCAATGCTGGAAAAGATTTTCGATGATTTTCGACAACAATTACCAATACCTGTTTAGAGCAGCCACACCAGCCTCATGCATATTGCATGCGTATAACTTAAACGGTTATAAAACGGTATTAATATTGTTTCATAAATTTTATTTATTCGCTAGTTTGAACCTGTCCTTGGACAGGATGCGATGGGTCCGTGTGAGCATACAACAGATTTGATCCGTGCGGCCATGCTTATATCCAAGTAACTTTAGTCGGTTAATAGGACAAGAATGCGCGGAAGGTTTCCTATGAATAATGCAGGAGAGGTATTAGTGTGTACGATGAAGGTCGTTACCTAAATTAGTTAGCTAATGCATAGGCGTAAAAAAACGCAGGGGGGTCGTTCGTGTTAGGGTGCACTGAAAAAAAACATACTTTTGGTAAACGGGGGGAGGTCCATTCAAAATAGATGTGATATTAATATCAATCGCATCATTAATAAAACTTTTCCAAGGAAACTTTATCCCACATTAACGTTTCTTCATCAAATCATGTTGCAGTAAAACTTAAAGTTTACAGAGTCCAATGTACCGTTTACAAAAAGATTAATTGCACAATAACAAAGCACCCTTACCTTACCCTAACATTAACAGTTACGCCTATGTGTCACGCGTGAAGTATTCCATAGTCATTCCCATAGTCATTCCCATGCAATTTCGATACTAATATACGCTATTTGTCCATACCTACATGAGAAACAGGGGGAATCGCTATTTTAGACCCACATGGCATGGGTCATATGATGCCATTGTGGTCTTGGAATTTATAAGGTAATTTACAAAGGGGCCTACAACAAACGCACGCATGGCATGACCACATCCATTACATTCGTTACATGATGTCTGTATCGATAGCAAAGATGATACGAAAAAGAGTGTTACTACTAATATTGATATTAGTATTAATCAAGGTATTAAGAGAAAAGACGATATAGTGTTTTGCTTTATAATGAGTATTATAATTAATGTTCACTTTTGGCAGCCTACCTGATTTGCTCCTCACCACCCCCCTCCTCCTCGGAATACGTAATATAAGCTGATATACCAATTTAAGAAAAGACCTCCCCCTCCCCGCACTCGTATAAATCCCCCTGCAATCGACAAAGAGTCGCTTAAACGCACTCAACATGACCTTCAGTAAAGAAGTATGTATAACAATGTTAGCAAACAAATTCTTTAAACCTTTTCAGCGTTCTGATGCATAATTTTCTGTTCACATCAGGAAGACAATCGTATTATTGGATTAGTGAAAGAACACGAACGTGACTTCAAGAAAATAGCCAGATTAATGGAAAATTGTCGCAGTGCCAAACAGATAAGAGAACGGTAAGTAATTATCATGAGCTTTTACACGAGAAATGAGTTTGGCTTTTCAATATTTATAATTTTGTGTAATTTTGCTAGATATGATAATCATTTGGCTGATGATAGTAAGTATAATAATAACAATGTCATGATTTGTAATTTATTCGTTTACTTATACGTAATAGTAATTCCCATTATCTTTCTTAGTCAAAGGAGAAAAATTAAATGAAGATGAGGAGAAAGTTTTCTGGGAACTTTATTGCAAATATAGTACTGAAAAGCAAAAATGGAAGCTCATTAGCAGCCAAATGAGTGGACGAACGACGTTGCAAGTAAAAAACCACTATAATAACTTTCAGCGCAAGTACTATCGACGAATTAAGAAACGGAAGGACTTTGCTTTAATACTTAACTGAACGTAGAAGCGTACTCGCACCAAAAGTATTAGACATTATGCTTAATGTAATAATGCTACTAATAAATAATGAAACGGGCTTGGAATTTGCAATTGAATTTCGTAGAATTTATTTGTTTTCTCTTTGTCCTATAAACATTGTAGCTTGTTATTCAATAATAAATAATTAATATAAAAAAAAATTCATATGTCCTGCTAGTGTCGAATATTGTTATTTGCTGGGCTTGTTGAATACTTGCGTAACTGAGATTTACTTACTTTCGCCTTATTGCCCTGTCATATGCTCCATCTGTCATCAATCTGAAATAGCGCACAAATTTGCCTTGATAAAGGTAAATTACATCTTTTTCCATTAAATGGTTTCACGACTTTTTTTCTCTTGCAAACGCTTCTTCAACTTCATAACTGACCATCATTATAAGTATTTCCTTTTTTATTGCGGACCGTATTTTAAATTGCCATTGTAATTGGTGAAACTCTGCCGTGTCACAAATTGCACGTGAAAAAATGTTCTCAATCATCATAGACCGTCTTATCATACATGGTCGATTTATCAAGTTTGTATGCTATTATGGTAAAGTCAATTCAGTCAATTTGATAACATTTTTATAACGGCGTTTTACTTTCCGGTTACGACGTTTTCCTCAAAGAATAGCATTGTATATTAATATGTCAATTGTGCCCATACCCAACAAACCAGTATTTTTTAACTTAATAATATACAGATACTTTAAGATCAAAGTTGTAAAAATGGAAAACTATAATTTACATAATACTAAATATTGTGAAAAATGAATTTATTCCTTTAAAGGATAAACTTGAAAAAAGTTTTCTTTGATGTTAGCTAAATATTTTAACATATTAATATAGATAATAATCGGATAATACTCTAAATACATATTTATATAATAGTTTAGTATTATATTTGGCATTTAAACATGAATTATTTGGCTGGTAAAATTATAACTAAACCTTCTTGAGTCGAACTGGCTTTTTATTATATGGGTAATTTAAAAAAAGTTTTTGCAGCTTAACTTTATTTCGAAACGTGCATAATAAGCTTAAGACTGACTAAATTTTCCTTCAAAATAGTTACCTCCTTTATCTGTACATTTTGTAATCTGGTTTAAAAGATTTGTAATATTTCTTTTAAGAGATTCTAAGAACAACTGCCTGAAGGACCCCAACAAGTTTATAACACCGTTATATTGTTTTTACAAAGTAATTTAAATAAGTGAAAATTTGCCATAAAAAATTTTGGTTTAGTAAAGACAAAACAATAACGTCACTCGCTTGCTCTTTGAAAATTCTAGATGTGTAATAAAGCGCGACGTTATCGTGGTTTAGCATTTCGCTGCGAATGTTACTCTTTCTTAATTTTTTTTTGTATCTTCGACAAAAAAAGGTACAAGGACTTTCTGGATCAAGGTCATCTTCCAAGCAATCTTAAAAGTTTTAACCAGCTTGCAATATTAGCTTTATGTCTACGAGATGTCATTAATTTTGCATTCATTTACTAACATCTGTCGCGTCTTATCATGTCAACAAATATGTACAAGTAATCTCGGTAAACGAACTTTGAACGAAGACACCCCAACAATTATATATTTAAAACAAACCTTACGGTGTCATAAGTTATCGGTCCGTCAAACAAGAGGCGTCTGACAAGAACGGTTTGAACCTCCTACGTATCAAATTCTTGTAATGCCTTCACTCCGCTAGGTCTATAATGCCTCCAAAGCTTTTATTTTTGTATAATTAGTAATATTATAGTCCTTGATTTTGAAACTTTCCAATTCCTTGAGTGTCCATAAATTTGTTCTTAATTTAGAATATCACTTTAAAGTTGCCGTATTTCCTGTTATGTTATAGTAAATATCCGCAATCAAACGTTTGAGCGAATGAAATTAAGTTGCGGCTAAGAAAGTATTGAGAAATCTTTTAACCGGTCCAGAATGCTAACTTTTTATTGATTCAAAATTTTGTCTCATTGAATTTGTTAGCATTTTCCGTTTGCATAATAATAAATTTCTCCGTGGTTAGAAACTGTTTTAAGTAATTTAGTTGGTCCTTTTTGTTTACAGATTAATCCATGTAAACATGTAGATAACATCGTTTGATAGAAACTCTTGCTTACCAAACTTCAAATCCAATAACTCGAGTACAAAAAGCTGTATTTTACAATAACAGCATTTATTCTATTTATACGACTTGCACAGCATATCAGTAGCCTTTCTTTAAATACTATATCAATGTAGTTTCGAGGTTAATATTGTAGTACCTTCTAATGCTCAATTTCAATTCGCCGCCATGTTTTTGATGGCAGGTAATTTTTCATTAAAGGTTTAAACCCGAAACTTGCTTACCAATGACTGTAAAATTTATTAACCACCAAAACTGTAGTCTTCCTCACGTTTACTATACGAGATATGCTTTTAATCACCATTATCCTGTTTAACAAATATCTTATGATTAAACTGGAAAGTAATTAAGGACATAATTATTAGATAAACTCAACCGTTATTATTGATTTTTGAATATCAAGGGAACAATAATAATAATAAAAGTGTAACCTTATCCGTATCAACATTCCCTTCACATGCAAGGGGTATAACTATTTATGCTCGATGTACAGCAAATCCTGGACAGGCAGATCAATTGATACTAAATTAATGCTTAAGTGACATCACATGAGTCAACAGGAACCTGTAATATTTTTGTATGCATTATGAAACGAGCAACTTGGTCAAAATATAATCAGAAATACGAAATAAAGATCTTATTATTAGCATGCCTTTCCAATGACGAATCTCGGGATGCGGAAGAAACCCTTTCCGCGATCAACTTGAAAAAAATTAACAAAGCCAATGAAAAGGGAATGTCACTTCAGCTATATTCCTAAAGAAAGCCCGTAATGTTCTCATTCTGAACGTAAATAGAGTAGTGGCAAATCAGATCTTTGTCCATATTTAGATATTGGCAAAAAGGCAAAAAGGGAGTATATAGTCATACTGTCAGATAGGAGGGTACATGCCCAATAGGATAGCAATAGGGGATCAGCCGTTAATTAGTATTAGCAATGTAACTATGACATTACTTTCGCTATGCCTACGCGCGATAAGAATTACGCAACCCAATGTTTTGGGTAACTATGGCCCTTGTACGACTATCGCCAATATATTGAAGATTCTGGCTCTTTTTTGTTACCTTATTAATATCAATTGAGTTACTCGAAAGAAAAAAGCAAAACACAGAAATCCAATCTATAACAGCTATAATCATCCAAGGACATATCCCAATGTCCTCGTAAGCCTTTAATTGCTGAAAAAAATGTTATCCTAGTTCAATTTTTATACTTGGGGCTTATGCTCGTTTGTAACATCATATCAAAACAAATAAACTTCCCCACTCCACTTTTATAACTTCTCACTACTGGCTCACTTATAGAGAAAACTAGCAGATACACAATATCTACAACTATATTCACGTTCCCTCCAATATGACAACTGACCACTCACAGAAACACCTCTCAACTTCTGAAACAACACGCTCTTCCTCTCATTCTTCTCCTCTATTCGAACTAGTAAATCTCCCCAGTAGACTCGTTCTCGAGAAAGTCTACCTCAACGGATTACATGCATTACGTCGTTTTAAAATAAGGAATATATCTCCACATACTTTACTAGTAAAATTACGTTCAAACTTGGGCTCACAAATAGCCTTCCAATTAACAAACGAAAATCTTCCCGAGTTCCAAACATATCAGCTGGATGCCTCCTCACGCGAAGAAGATTTCTCGACACGCAGTCCTTCCCCATCCGCATCTCTATCCAACATTACCACTAACACCGTTGCTGCTGCTGCTGCTGGGGCTTTTGGTGATGCTGCTAATGGAGATCAGTTTAACCAATTGTTTAATTACGTGAATCACATCGATGAGGTAGAAATATCACCAGGTTGTGAACAAAAGATCATTATGGCTTTCCTGCCCGTTATTGACAATAAGGGAAGATCAGCTCTTGGACGCGTATTGCCGGTCGGAAACAGTGAATCTATGGTGGGAGTAGGTAGTCCAACCGAGTTGGAAGATAGAGAAATGATGATAGGATATACGACCGGAGAAGAGGAAGAAGAGACATCGGAGTTTCACGAGATCAATGGATTGCTGTTCTTTTTTGCTTATATCGTAAATACAGAACAGAGCGTCACCTCACTAAAGCCCGATTCGAAGATCGAGGCAAATGATCAGATTGAGAAATCGAAGAGACCAAGTTCAAAGGAAGGTAATGAATTTTTATGCAAGAACAAGAGAGGGGTTGTTTTGGATTCAACGAGTGTAATGACACAGTGCGATGTCTCAAGGTCTGATTGTTATAGTTGTCTTATGGTTGACAACAAGAATTTCTGAGGCTGACACTGTTTTCTTTGAAACATAATTTTCGCAAATGTCTTTTTGTATACTGTTGTACTCACTCTTATGTTTGTACACTCCATTTCAATTTTGATATGCACGCTTCTGCAGAAGATAAACTACCTATTCACGACACTTCGACACACTACCCGAAGGCCGATTCCCAACTTACAATCAAGTTTCGCTCAACCGTATGTCGTTCGGTGCTATGGACAGATGTCGGAGAGACTGGGATCAATTTTGATGATTGTGTTGCTGGTGGTACTTACTTCAAGGACTTTACTATATGGAATCGTTCAGAAATAGAATTGTATTGGTTGTTGAATACCGTGGACTTGTCAAATTCGGATAGGGAAGATTGGCTAAAATTTACCGATTACGATACGGGAGAAGTGCTAGATGCAAAACCAGTCTCTAGTTTTTCCCATCGGCGAATAAGAGTCACATTCAGACCCAAAGAAATTGGTGAATTCAACTATGACTTGCAATTGGAGAATGCAAACGATTCATCAAACGTTCTTGAGCCTAGGATACATGCTGTGGTCAGGTCTGTTCTACGTGAAGAGTCTTTGGTAGTAAGCAGTGGGAAT